TACTACTACTACTACTACTACTACTACTACTACTACTACTACTACTACTACTATAATTACAGAGGTTTGCCTTCCTTCAACTGCACTCATTAATTTATCATTCCAATTGACGTCAACATCCATTATTAATTTGTAAAAAATTGCTGATGGACCTTGCTAGATGTGCACAAAATGTAGTTTGGCGTAAAAACAATCAAATGCATATGTGTTGGTGAAAGGAACTCGGCGTGCCATCAAAACACGACCAGATGTATGTATGTGTAGGTGTATGGAACTCAGGGTGTCGTCAATTTTCAGGGCAGTTTTATCTTGGTACGGTAGACTGCTCTATTCTCTTACTGGCTCAAACCATTCTTTAGTCAGACTTGTCGTACTCAGTTTCTGACCGGTCACAACTTTTCACGACTAAAATGTTCTTCTTCTTCTTCTTCTAAGTAGTGCAGTAGGGTTAGTATTACTCCATTGTTCACAACTCCCTAAAACACAGGCTTTAGTCTGTCTAAAGACAAATTTGTTTAGGTGATGTATAGGCCTAAAGTGTCCGATAGAAATGGGTTAAAGTAAACTTCAACCACCTATTCGGAACCTACTAGACCTAGTACGCACACTGAGATCTTCACAAACTGTGGGAGGGCCAACGTACGAGTAGCTATGACACTATACACCAAGGAATTTTAACATATTTAAATTGTGGAAATTTAATTTTTACTGAGACGCGGTTTCAATAGTTTATAGATTATATATCGCCTGAAATCTAGCAGAAAAGAAAAAGAAAAGAACAGTAAGACGCACTCGTGCACATGTTTGATTCCAAACGTACTGACCATGTCTTTCCTTTGGAGCATATCCAGGATGTCAAGATCAAAAGGAAGGGAAGTAGCACTTGGGCTAGTACTTCCACTCTGTCGACCACCTAGGCAAAGCTGCATCATGTATTCTGCTTTTAGATTGTCTGTCAGGACGCAAAAGGCCATTAATTCATAGAACAATTTTTTCTCATAAATCTTTAATTAAAGTCTCCATTTGAAACTTACTTAACATGCCATGCACGTGGGGTGTCTCCACTCTCTGTGGCGCCAACTGAAGCGTTATCATCTCGTCATGAGTCAAAAACCATTTTGACTTATTTTAATTTTTAAAAAGAGACCACAACTAGATCTTCACCAAACGTTTCTCGCTTTTCAGTCTAATCGTCATCCTCGTCGCAGCCTTGACCTTGACACCAGCAAGGGCGGGGCCGGGGCTCCAGTCAAGGACGACAGAGGGAAGAACATGACCCGTAGACCTATCACGCTGAGTCGGGATGATTACGGAGGTAAGGGGAGGGAGGGTGAAAGGGAGAGAGGAAGGAGGAGGAGTGCTTGGTGGAGGTGGAGGTGGAGGTAGAGGTGGAGGTAGAGGTGGAGGTGGAGGTGGAGGTGGAGGTGGAGGTGGTGAATGGTGTGTTTGTGGGAAGGGGACGTGGCAGGGGTGAGGCTCCTAAAAAGGACGATATAGGGAATAATAAATATGACTCGGAGATCTGTCACATTTAGTCGGGTAAATTACGGAGGTAAAGCGATCAGGGAAGATGTGGAGGGGGGAGGAGAGGGAGAATGTGATTGAGGCGGATGATGGGGCATGTGTGGGAAGAGGGCGTGGGGAGAGGCGGGATTCCCAAAAAGGACGACTGAGGGAATAACATGACTTGGTGACCTATCACACTGAGTCGAGATAGGGGGGAGGGGGTGTTGTCAATATCTCGTCTGTTCTCCCCCCCCCACCCCCCACCCCTTTCCATCCTTCCTTTCTCCTTATTTTTGTTTCTGTTTATACCCTTGTCAAATTGTCTCTGTGTGTCCCTCTCTCTTTATGTCTCTCTCTCTTTCTCTCTCTC